GGAGAGAGGGAGAGAGAGAGGGTGATACAGTGTGTGCATATATGTATTGCTGTACCTCTCTTTTACTCATAACATCAGGCAGTATTACGGTGTGTGGCAAATATGATAGTTTGATTTCAGTTAATACACATTTATCAGGTTCCTAAAAAATCACCACATTAATATTGAGATACATTTAGTAATGTATAAGCTATGAGCACTAACATTGTATATACCTACCTGTGATGTAACGTGTATTGATAATTCCTGTAATAAGTCCAATAGTGTATGTAGCACACGTTTGCTCCACAGCAAATGAGGGAACCTATGTTAATGATCCAGTCATTATAATTGAAATGAGAGGGTTTACTTGTCAACTAGTTTAGTGAGAAAAGTGTCAGCAAGACGTTTGATACGCCCACGAATGTGATTAAATTTGAATATCAGTAGAAGAGCATGACTCTCCAACTCTTTCTCCCTCTCCTTTGTACAAGGCTAATAGAAAATAATAAAAATACAATACAATACAATACAGAGTGTGTGTGTGTGTGTGTGTGCGTGTGTGCAAATATACTTTGTCATTGAGTATATCCAGTAATTTGTCAAATAGTTTCACAGCAATAGCCTCCATTGCAACTAATAAAGGACATAAAATTCAACAGCAGTGTCTCTTACTAGTACTACATGTACATGTAGGTAGTCTAACTTACCCCATAATTCTTTCTGGAGTCCTTTATCATCAAGATACTCAAATATGTATGAAAAACAACGACTGTCCTTCTCAATCCTATAAATACAATACACATCAAAATTATTTCATTAAAGAATACAGAAGAAATTAAAAGAAAAAATGTATGAATTAAGAAAGAAAGTATAAGGAGACTACAGTATAGAGATGAGAACATGCCTGAGTGTTTCCAGACGTGATATTGAGTGCAAGTACATGCATTGGGCAAAGTTGAGGCGATTCACAAGTTTATCTAATTCAACCGAACGTCCCAACAATTCCTGCAATGAGAGTCTTGCTTCCTGTAACTCGCCCTATCAGTATAATAATAATAATAATAATAATAATAATAATAATACATGTAATAACATCAATAAAATGCTCACAAAATTACTATTAACTGTAATTATTGGCACATCAGCTACAATAGATTGATTTGTAATATTTATTTACATGTACATGTACATAGCCTGATGTATATCAATGTAGCTGTGTTATATATAAAGTGTGAGCCAATCCATATAAAAGCCTTGAGTGCTAATACACTTACAACAGTGATGTCTCCTTTCTTTAGTGGATGGTTAAGCTCCAGCTCCTTGTCAAGATACTTCTCAGCACCAGAGACTATTAGCAACGGACTCTTGGAGGCAATATCAGCAACATGATCATACCACAAGGGAGGGAACACACCTAATGGAGGGAGTGGAATCAATAAGAATAATAACAATGAGTATATGTACATGTACATATGCCAAAAATGAAAAGAGTAAAAAGGAACTGACAAACATTATACACACCATGCAATCATGCATAGTGTCAATAAGTTGTTTATAAGTACATGTACATGTACACAATGTACATAGTCTATGCATGTGTGGTGTACCTCTATCAGATTCACTGAATCCTAACAGTACACAATACAGCCAGAAGTCTCTGAACAGTTTCAGTACACGAGGAGACGGCATCAGTATTGGATCCATGTTCTTACACAACTAAAAGGAAAGTACATGAACAATAGAAATAAAGGAATAAACACAAGCTGCAGTATAGTTACAGTATAGTTACAGTATACACTGATACAGCATACATATTCTATACAGATCCATGTACATGTACATGTATATGTACTATTATGAATGTGTACATGTACATATACACTATTATGCTTACTGTGGCTAGTACTGGGAGGAGAAGACCGAGTGAAAATGAGGAGGAAGAAGCTTTCAACTGATTAAACATGTCCTTCCTTTCAATGGCTCTCTTTCCTTCGATCCCTTGATTAACAAACGAGTACAAGACTTTCTGAAGGAACTCCATCTGCTGGTCTTTCTCTTTTAAATGAGTCGCTACGTAAACCAAAGCATCCATCACTGGCTGGAATATATGACTAGAGATAAAACATAAAATTACAATAAAAAAAGAATAAAGACACTTGTACATGTACATGTACATGCATGTACATGTATTATTGCTTACGTGTATGATTTGTTGCTTATGTCCTGACTATCATTCCTTTTGTGCTGTGGCTGTTTTGATGAAGCTAGCTTTGAGAGGTTAGAAGGAGATGAGTATGTTGGATAAGGAGTAGTGGCTACGCCTAATGCCTCACTCATCAAGCGACTCAAAACCTAAAAAATATATTATTACATTTATTACATTTATACATGTACAATAAGAATACATGTACATGTATGTGCAACAAATAATATTAATCATAAACATATATGTACATTATAAAAAATATACATTAATTTTATTACATTTATAACTTATAAATGTATGTACAACATATACATGTACATGTATATTTATCATAATGTTATGATTATCAAATGCTGTACCTCAAGTATTTCTGAGTCGCCAAGTTCAGCTGCCATGTTGCCTAATTCAGTGACAATGGATCCGTCAAGACAGCTCACTGGATGAAACAGTCTCTGGCGGAATACGCCCAAAATACCAGCAATAACACCTTCTTCGTTGCCCAAAGACACACCCACTTTACCAAGCAACATTATGATGCACTCAGCTGCACGAACTGAAGTTCTAAAAATGCATAAACATTTTCTAAAATTTGCTTGTACTTGATACTTTTGTAGTTTGTACATATAATTTGATGATTTTAGAGCCACTTTAAGATAAAGCATGGGACTATAGTACAGGATGTATGGCATATTTTTAAAATGG